GGAGGAGTTGAGGTTGGGAAAGCAGAGCTCAGATCCCCAAGTGTCACCCATCAGGGAGGAGAGGAGCAGAGCTGAGGTGGTGAACAGTTCATTTTATTTTCTTTTTACACTGCCCTCCTACTTTTTCAAACTGGTAGAAGATGATGTAACTTTTGTCCCTTGGCATCATTATAATCATTAACACAATCTTTCCTGTTATAATCTTCCATATTTATTTTTAGTTTTTATTTATGAATTATTTTCATGTCCCTCTTTGACATAAAACAACTTTAAAAGTTTAATCAGTGTTATATTCCTGTCAAACCAGCCTGCCTGGTTGCTCCCAATTTTTTATCTTAATCTTTCTTCATTCAAGAATCTACCTTCACCCTCTTACAGAACAGAGTTGTACACTGGAATGACCAAAATAAATTGTTAAGAATTTAAAAAGACTCTTCCACTATCTAAATTTATCCCCAGGCCTCCAGAATGAATAAGAAGCTGCCAGGAGAAGCAGCAGAAAGTGACCAGGTCCAAACTCCTCTGTTCTCAGGAGGTGGCAGTGCTGATTGTGCCGCAGCCTTCTGGCTTCATCCTGCAAACCCCTCCTTCAACATGTCTTTACTGCAGCCCAGCAACATGGTAGACAAGCTGTAGCTTTTTATGAAGACCAAGGACAATCAGACATCATCTCCTGCCACCTCTGGGATGTAAAGGTCAGTTCATATACAGTATGTTCAAGCTGTGCATGTCAGGGAGCTGAACTAGAAGGGGGTGACAGTTTTAGTTTTGAAACCAGAATGTTTGATAACGTCAGCATCATAAAGGTAGATCTGACGTATTCAGATGAATGTGAGATTAGTAAAATTAGTACATGGGAACCAAAATTATTCTAACCATCAGTTATAGTGGATGAAGCCCACAGAAGACTCCATGAATTGAAAAAACATTTCTCAGATCTTAAAATTTTTAAATTTTATTATATAACCTTTATCTCTCCGGTGGGTGACGGGTTGACAGGCTGGTGTGGGCTTTCTTATAGCTCCCCAGCTCAGTTGTCAGGTGTTGCCGTGTACCCCAGTGGATGAGAGAGTCGTTTCCCTGTGGCTTCGGGTCTCTCACTGCTGTTTGTGCTTATACACCTAATGGCAGTGTAGAGTACCTGGCCTTTTTAGGATCCCTGGGGGGCGTGTTGGAAAGCACTCCCACGGGGGACTCTGTCATTCTGTTGGGGGACTTTAATGCCCACATGGGCAATGACAATAATACCCGGAGGGTCAAGATTGGGAGGAACGGCCTCCCTGATCTGAACCCCAGTGGTGAGTTGTTATTGGATTACTGTGCTAGTATGGTTTATCCATAAGTCCATTGGGGAACTTGATACCTGGACACCCTAAGTCAGAGGTCGATGATCGAATTTGTGGCCGTTTCCTCTGATCTTCGGCCATGTGTTTTGGACACTCGGTTGGCAGAAGAAAAAGCTGGACAGACCTGGCAGGCCCAAATGTATAGTGAGGGTCTGTTGGGAACATCTGGCGGAGGCCCCGGTCAGAGAGGTCTTCAACTCCCACCTCCGAAAGAGCTTCAAACTGAAGCAAACCGAGGGAAACTGGGGACATTGAGTTCCACACCTCTGTTGTCAGGGCAGCTGCGGCTGTAAGGTCTCTGGTGCCTGTTGCAGTGGCATATAGGAATTGTCATAGGGAATTCCATCCATCCATTTTCTAAACCGCTTAATCCCAAACGGGTCACAGGGGGCTGGAGCCGATCCCAGCCAGTTGCAGCACACCCGGGACAGGTCACCAGTCCATCGCAGGGCGAACACACAGACGAACAACCACTCACACACACAATCACTCCTACGGGCAATTGAGAGATGCCAATCAACCTATGCCGCATGGCTTTGGACTGTGGGAGGAAGCCGGAGCACCCGGAAAGAACACACGCAATCACGGGGAGAACATGCAAACTCTGCACAGAAAGGCCCCAGGTCGGCCGGGGCTCGAACCCAGAACCTGCGAGGCAACAGCACTAACCACCGCGCCACCGTGCTGCCCCATAGGGAGTTAAACCATCTTATTTGATCTTATTCTGTGTTGGAGCTAATGGGCAAAAATATCATTTGTACACACACATAAGCCAATCCCATGTAAATTGGCAAAGTATTGTGATGACACAGTATTAAAGTATGAAACTCCATCGCATTATCTGTTCACTTTTCTGGGGGTTGTTGGTGATCATGACAGTGAGGATACTACAAAATCATCATCTTTTTACAGTGTAAGCAAATGTGGTCAAATTGAGATCAGACTGAGATTTTTCCAAAACTTTTAAGTCCTAAATGATAAAAATTCAAACGCTGAATAAAGGTGACACAGACTCAACAAAGCAGCAAAAAACTCTGGTAACAAGTCATTTCACTTAGACTGTGTACATTTGTTATACTGTATCACAGTCAGGATGTATATATTTGAAAACTATTCACTAGATATTAATTTGATATTGTTTATGGTTATTTTTCACCTTTTATGATTTCTTGGTGTTTATACCAATCTGAACAAGTCAAAACTGAATCAGCATAGCTAAAACAATGCATTTATCTTAATATTTTGCACATAAATGCAAATGACCTGCACAGTGTTTCATTCAAAGTCAACAGACCAACATTTACAGAAAAAAGTCTCATTAGCCCAGATTAATGTGCTTCACTCAGCACTCAGGTGTGTATTTATGAGAATAAACAGTTCACAACATGACTGATTGACAGAATGAGAATCTCTGTGCCTGAAGCCACTGCCAAAGGTCTGTGTGGTGCTGCAGCAGAACAGTCTGCTCAGAGGTGACACAGTGTTTCTAAAACAGTGTAAAAATGACCATTGACTGATACTTCCAGCCCTGTCTACAGGATCTTAACCTCAAGGGGAGTTATCCTGCAGTATTCTGAGTGTTATGATGAGTTTGATAGCTTTTCTAAACCAGGGGTAGAACATGGCATAAATCAGAGGGTTCAAACAAGAGTTCAGCATAGTGATCCACAACAATATGGGATAATAGGACAGGCTGGTGGAGGTGTTCACGCCTGCAAGAATGGGATAATAGTATGGGCAGTAACATGTTAAAAACACTACTATAAGAATCCCAAGAGTCCTGGCTGCCTTGGGCTGTGATTTTCTAGCAGTTGGAGCTGCTCTGGCCTTGGTAGCAGCAGCCTGTGACTGAATTACACGCATCTGAGAAAGGGCAGCCACAAACACTCTGATATACAGCACAACCATGACAGTACAGGGCCCAATAAAGGTCATGAACATGTCAAATGTTCCTGAAATCTGGCTGATGACCACCACACATTCTCCATGACAGGAACTGAATCTGTCTGGCTGCACTAAATGGTCTAGTAAAATTAACCCATTGTAGGTAAATGAACAGGTCCAACAGAGACAGATACAGATTTTAACTTTAGTAACAGTGACCTTAGAGGAGTAGATCAGTGGGTCACAGATAGTCAGATAACGGTCGATGGAAAC